TGCCTTTGACAAACCTATTTGACTTCTCTAATTCCCTGTGGAGACGATACTCTACTTATTACTTTATTACTTGTTCGATTGTGTATACTTGCACATATATTCACACTCATTTATAGTACTCATACCGAGCGGACAACGATCCTTATCTTGTTTACTACCTTACATTTTCATACTCAGAATACTCCACTATATCCAAATCTACATCATTCTTGGTTAACTTACACTGACATCATTTTCAAATCTTTTAACTTTAATACACTACTAAATTAATCAACACCGGTTCTTCTAATCTAAAGCGTAAATCTTCATCGAACCATTCATATACATTCTTTCCAGTCAAAATTAACCCAGCAATAATTTACTTAACTTATCAAATTTATATCATTCCTCATACACTATGCAATTTCCTTTGCTCAACTCAACATTCCAACTTCCTCTGTCTTATAAACTAATCACCAATGTATTCATTATTAAACTCTTCTGAACCATATCTACCTCTTTTTCCTTCAAATTATCTGACTAATATTCATTCAACTTATCAAACTGCACTCTTATCCATACACATTACGATTCTCCTGTTTCAAATTCATAAATTATATCTTCATATTTCTGAAGAACTTATCACCGAGATACTATTATCGAACTTTTCCAAACTAATAACCACATCACTTAATCTTCTATCATTCTCATGATAGCATATGTTCACTATACTTCAACTTATACGTAGAATAGCTAAACTACTTCATCTAACTTCTCCGCTTCAGAACAGTGGAGATCCTAAAACATTATTCTAACATGTTTTTAACTTCCAGAAAACAACCTTTGTTATTTCAAAGCATTTCCTGAGGTGTTCGCTCTTCATCCTGCCTGGCCAGGGCAGGTGAATTACTTCCACCATCAGGTTTATCAGCTATCGATTCACTTCGACAATTCCTATAATCAATTTCTACTATATCATACAAATCTTATTCTATTAGCAAGACAACATACTCCTTACACTATTAAATCAGAAATTTTCACTTTGAGTTGGCATGTACACATTTTTAAAACTCATTTGACTTTGGTTTAAGCCTATAATCGGATAAACCTTAGCTCTAATGCCATTAAATGTAACACCCCCAACCCATATTCGACCTGAATCTGAGTTTGAGGTGTCACATTGACTTTTCAAATCATTTTCCTTTAAAAACTGATTAAAATTTAAATTAACCTTTCAAGAAAATAAATATTTTACATTAATTAAATCAATTGGTTTACAAAATATATCAGAGCATATTCAATTCAAGCAATTTGTACATGCCAACTATATTCAAAATAACAAAATACATCTAAATCATCTCTTTGATTTTCTGATCTGAACTTTGTAAGGGATATGCTAACTTGTCTTGCTCCTCATCACGCCATAATCTCCTCGAACCTACGTGTGAAACAATCACATGCTAAGTCGTTGACTTAGTGAGGCATAAAACACATATATATAATTGAAACTTAATATACTTAACAATGCATGAATATATCATACTATGACATCACATAAAATCACTCATATATATATATATATATACGCTTTCATATAATCAAATATATATATATGCATATCACTCGCTATTTTCATCATTTACCTTATTTCACTATCAACATTATGATCATTTATATCTTTTAAGCATATCCTCTTATATCTAACATTTTAAATCAAACATTACACACATTCTCATATAAATCATGTAATACAATCCATATCACACAAAAGTTTATATATTACATGTAATATATTTATTGTTATCTCTTTGTTAGCTCAAGTACACATGTGAGAATTATAGATATGTGAGTACATAGAGGTTGTGCACATATGTTGTCATCACAGCTCGTATAAGGTCCCACAAGGGGCATATGAATTTGTCCCAAATGACCACTATCCATATGTTCCGAAGAACATAGGTAACTGTCCATATGTCTCGAAGGACATATGTAAACTATCCATATGTCTCGAAAGACATAGGTAACCCTTGATTCTTGGCATGCCAACTATACCTCTAGCTCTCATTTCGCATAACATGGGCATTCTCTTTCATAGCATTTCTCATATTCATATAGACAAATGATTCACTTTCACATATCACATTTACTTTCTTTTTCATATATCTCATGTCTTGTGACCATGTAAGCACATTACTTATTTTCATATGATTCCACATTCATATGTCACATATCACATATATTTATACTCATACGGTTCAATATCATTAAACTTAGTTCACTTTTCCATATTATCACACATGTATATAAATCTTCCTTATATCTCTTATCTTATAGTTTGGTATCATCATTTATACTCAAGTCTCCTCACTAATATATTGTTCTCATATTATTTTATAGTCTAATCTTATTTAACTCATCACCCTTCTCATTTAGTTATATAATTCTATTATATTGATTCTTATAATTGATCACATATATTATGTAACATGTATGGTCACCTATCATATGTTCATACAACTCCTTATGTCCCTATCATATAACTTATTTCATATTCTTATATAATCATATATATCCTTTGTACTATTCCACATGACTTATCACACTAACATATATTTGTACATAAATCATGTAACATACACAACAACATGTCAACACATATATTCATGCACACATATAGATCATAACAAACACATACTTCTATCTATGAATTCATGCATTTTACTATTGGAAATAGACTTGTTGCAAGTCTTATTTCCATTAAACATCATCTACTAAATAATATGCACTCACCTGGCCTCACTAGTCAATACCAAACCCTTATATCTTCTCGATGACTATTACTTGTAACTTGTTCGAACTTTGCTCTCGATCGATATCTTACCAATAGAGCCACGGGAAGAGAAGAGGAAGAAGACAACCCAAGCTCTAGACTTTTCTTTCCTTTTTTTCACCATTTACACGTGTTGCTCTCTTATATAAAGGGAGAAATAAAATCCTTCCTTAGAAAAAACCATTTTACCCCTGACTTCATTTAATATTTACTAAACAATCATCCACTAAACATTCCAATTTAGTCCATGAACTTTGAAATCTTTCAAAATTAGACCTCAAAGTTTCAAAATTTCCATTTTAGTCACTAGCCCTGATTTTGGGATATTACAATAACTATCAATCTAAATTAGTCCTTCAACTTTTGAACATTCTAGCTTCATCCCCAAACTATGACTCTCATTTTAAATTGGTCCCTAAAATTTTGAATATTCCAATTTTATCTCCAAATTCATCCAAATATGTAATTTGTTTCAACCATAGTTTAACATAAATTTTTTTTTATCAAATATATAATAATATAACTTGGCCAAAATATTTTATTAACAATGGATGTGAATAGTATATATGTATAATTTGGGATGAAGTTGAAATCTTCAAAAAAGTTTAGTAACCAATTTAGAATAAAGATCATAGTTTGGGGTTGAAACTAAAATATTCAAAAGTTTGAGTATTAATTTAGAATGATAGTCATAATTTAGGGAAGAAATTGGAATATTTAAAATTTAGGAATTGGTTCAGAATGAGTATCATAATTTGAGGACACGTGATGCAATTAACTCAACTCCAAACTATATAACAGACTTGCAAAATAACTTTTTTCTTCTAAATACTCCTTATACCAAAAAAATAATAAACGTAAATGTATAAACAAAAATGACAATTCAAAATAAACTTTAAAGATTTTAATTAATGACACGAATTAAACTAATTCAGTGGTTAAAACTTAAAAGAATGGTTATTATTCTTAGATCCTTAGAACTAAAAATTGCAAGGATGTTTGAGCTTTCCTTGTAAAATGGTTAAGAATCTTTAGAACATATATTATCTTGTATAGACCTGGAAAATTTAACTCGTACCCCTTTACTTGAATCGGTTTACCCGATCCGAGACTTGATATAGACTCGAACAAGATGACCAAAATTGATTTGAAACCCAAAATAACCCAAATCGAACCGAACCGACATGAATTTTAGTTGGACCAAAAGTAACTCGAATCAAAAAAATCCAAAAAGAAAGAGACCCGAATTTAGTTTACTCATATATAATCTGAACCAAACTTTGACCCGATTTTAACCCGATAATTGAGTCTAAATGAATGAATGAATTATTTATTTATTTATTATTATCTATTTTTAGCATTGATAAATAGTAAAATGATGTATGTTTTATTCTTATTTCATATTCTACTACAAGTTAAACATCACTCATAGTAATAGTTAAATAGTTCAATATAATATTTCCTCAGTTAAAAGACTATTTTTATATCCGATGAAAAACTTCCAGCTCTGAATATGGAATGTGACAATATATTCACATAAAATTCTTGATTTTAAAGATTTATTGATTTGATTTATTAAAACTAACTCTGAATATGGATTGTGACAAAATATTCACATAAAATTCTTGATTTTAAAGATTTATTGATTCGATTTATTAAAACTAAAACTTATAGTTCTGAATTTGGGATGTGACAATATATATTCACATAAATTTTTTAAATTATAAGTAATAAAGAGTAGCACTGAAAATTATGACGGCAAAGAGCAACAACAGTTGACCTGAAAATCTAAAGGTTGGCCCAAAAATCTAAAGGTTGACTCGAATTGAAACCGGTCCGAATTGACGCGAAAATCTAATGGTTGACCCAAACCGAAACCAACTGATCCGATATTGATCCAACCTGAAGCCAATTGATTCGATATTAACCCGACCAAAAAACCAATCAATCTGATTTTGACTCGACTCGATAACTGACCCAAACTGAATTTTCATATACCCGAACTGAATCTAAACCGAAGTACTCTAAACCCAAAATAATCCGACCCGAAACTATTCAACCCGAATTCAATCCAAATGACATGATTGTCACCTCTAATCTTGTAATCACCTTAGATTAATGAAAAAATATTAATTAATGCAATTGACAAGGTGCATATTAAGTAACAGATAAATACCAGTAATTATTGAATTTACTGATTGATCTGTTTCGGACCTTTCGATCTCTCTCCTGATCCATAAGCCTGCCTACCAACGTTGGCGAGCAGTCAACTAAACACTTTAGCCATTCAATTTAGGAATGGAGAGAAAATTAATACTAATATATTATAATTAATTAAGATAAACAAAAGGAAACAAATAGCAATAAAACAGTGATAGAAAACGATAAGAGAGCTAAGAGCCTAAGACTTGGAGCAAAACAAGAACAACAACAAAGGGGGGAACATGCATGACCCGGGGTTGGCTCATTGTTGAGTCATTTCAAACATGGAATCGGGGCCACCTCGGCAGTTTCACAGACCATTCACAAGCCCGAGTTACTGTGCTTATTTTCTTGGGGTTGGGTTTTTGCATTGCCCTTTGTACACATATATGGATATATTCCATATATAGGATCACGATCGTATATTTTTGTTGCCACTTTTATTACACAGAGCTGTAATCATGTAACGGTATTTGAAAGGTAGCTGAACTCAGTGGTTGGTGCTGGTGAATTGACTGAGACCCATTGTTGAACCAAATGATGCATATTTGGCTAGTTCTTGGGATAAAAAAGGCCGACCAGATTGATCATTGCTCATTCCAAGGAAGTCCCTTGTCAAGCTTTGATCGAACGAATTAGTGGCCGTGTGCGAGGAGGAAGATGAGCTGCTGCTCATTACACCGAAACTGTTCCCGAAGAACAATGGATTGCTTCTCGTTGAACCCATCTGAGCCGCTTTCTGCAAGAGTGCGGTCGCCGACATAGGAGAAGCAGTAGGCTTGGATTGTTTGTTTTGAGAATCGGAGCATAGAGACGACAGGCTTTCCATTAAACTGCCTTCATTTCCTCCTTCTTCTTTACAGGAAAGATTGTGATTTGACGAAGTTCCACCACCGTCTTCGAATCCAGGAAAGTGTGAAGATGAACCAAAGAGATTGCTTGGAGCCATTTGAACCATCTCAGTCAAACCTGACAAATTCAATAAACACAAATACTTAGTCACAATATACTCAAACAGATTCATTTACAGGAAATTGAGAAGTTTACCTGCTGCAGGCATCCCAGGAAAATCTTGAGGAAAACCAGAAAATCCTTGAGGCAGATTCATAGCATCGTTTCTGAAATTTAAGGTTGAACTTGTTGCTGCAACAGAAGTAAGCCTTGCACTTTCTTCAGCTAAAGCGTCACAAAAGGCTCTATGGGTGATGAAGCTGTCTTTTCTGTTTGGATTAAAACAGACCCAAATTTCAGAAACACAATCAGTTATATTTATTACCTAATCATTAGGTTTGCATTTATGATGCAACGTTGTAAGAAAATTCCCAGAAACGTATAAAAAAATTTTGAAACCTGGAAAATAATGTGCCACAGTCACACTTGTACTCTCTAGTACCACAGGTTTTACAGTGAGCTTTCCAGTCGGATTGAACAGCGTATTTCTTCGAACATTTATCGCACTTCCACTTCTTCTCCCCATGTTTCCTGCTGTAATGTTTCTTTACCCCGGTGAGGTCGCCGAGAGCTCTGGACGGATCGTGGTGAACGCAGGTTTTCTCGGGGCAAATATAAACCTTCTTACGAACTTCTTTGTTGGTTCTTTGCCTCAGCTTCCATGGAAGATTATGTCCCCTGCGATGAAGCTGCAGATTTTGGTCTCTTTGGAAACCTTTCTTGCAGATTTCGCATACGAATCTGTTTGTAGCCATGAGAGTTTTGGGGGATAAAGCAATAACTTCAGCATCTGGATCTATTAAGGCCGGAAACAGAAGATTGGATCGTCAACAAAAACTAAGAAAAGGGTATTATCAAAAGAGAAAGAAAAATCGAATCAAGTTTACCCGGGTTTCCTGGAAGATTTCTCTTCTTCTTAACAGGATTTGGATTAGCTTTAGGGTTAGGGTTTGCATTATTTTGGTCTTGAATGAACCCTCCTGTTGAAGAAGAAGGGATAGAGAAAGCTTCACCAGACATAATTTCTTTCTTCCTCTCCTTTTTTTTAATGTATTTTGCAGCTAAATTCCTAAAAGTGATAGCTTTCAAAAAGGCGAAAAACACAGTAGAAAACAAGGATTTCTCCAAACACAAGCAGATAAATCTTTGGTAATAATATATATTCACTCTCTCAGTTTCTGCCCAAAGAGACAAAGAAAAGCACAACTCAAGCTTAAATCTAAAGGCCTTCCCACAAATATAAACAACTTTAAAACAAAAAACCTTTCGGACTCTTCTTAGTTCTTACAGAAATATCTGGTTTTTAATTATCTCGTTTGATTACAAGAGAAAACACCCAAAAAAAACATGATGACTAAAGAGAATATATATATATATATACCCATCTCTATCTCAATAGTTAATAACCCTTTCTTTTATCTTCCATACACAAACCGCACGATTGTGAAAGTTGGCAAATGTGTGTGCAAGAAGCAAGCCGATGCTTTTGAGTAACCAGTTGAAAAAGTGTATGGGTTTTCGTGTCCTTTCTCTCGTATAGATAGCCTTTTTCAGTTCAATGCTCCATCTAGTAGCAGCAATAAATTTCTTAATATTTTATTGACTTGTGGGGGTTATTATATGTTGTTTTTGTCTAGTGCTTTGAGTGGAGGTTAAAAAGTGAGTTGCCTTTACAGTGATATCGATCAAGATTGAAATGATTTAACCATAATTAAAAGGTAAAAGGCCATTGAAATTGAGGAAGAAGTTGCAGAGAGGGGGAGAAAAAGGAAGAGAAATGAATGAGAGAGATGATAGGACGGTCCGTGATACATGTCTGGGGAGAGGGACCCAGATTTGGACTGTGTGATTCCGATGCTGCACCAGCATCAGCATGCAATGTTGCTGCCAGTGCCACTGATATATCTGTACTTGCCTTTGTTTTTTATTTGTTTACTGACGTTTTTTTTCTTCCTATTGTTATCACTATACTCATGCTCTCCACTTCTGCATCTATAACAGTACTCTTTTGAGTTACTGAATGAGTGCATCATTCACTCAGTATCGTTAAATTTATTTCTTTTTATATTTGTTTAATTATTTTATTTAAAATATACACACACACAAAAAGATAAAAAAAATATTATTATACTACTCTTATCCTTGTGTGCTTTTAAAATATCATACAACTCTGGTCAAAACATTACTGCCGAATAAAATATTACTATTTCAAAATGTAAGATTTATCATATATACTTTGGATTTGTTTATCTCTACCGACTAGAGATATAAATAATCTATTATAAATATAGAAATCAAATAGTATAAATACATAACATTCAAAATGTATCTCATAATTCAATATATATCTTAAAATTCGGTATATCCTAAAAGATTTTCTCAATATCCTTACAAAAATTACAAAGATTATTATATATCTCCAAAATAATTACCAATCATAATTCTAAAGGAGACATGTTCTTATTTGTACACCTAAATATTTAATCACCAAGAATACTTATTTCATAAGAATTCTTAATTAAATAAACTTAATTGTCAAGTAATCTTCGATCACTATAATTATAACAGAATTAAACTAAATTTCTAATCGAAATTTAAATCAATATGTAACCTATATAAATTAACCGAGCGTCTACATTAGGTGAGTTGCCTTTCATGTAGCAATGTCTTTATCTAGGCAGACTTCAACCAGACCCATGAATGGAGTCAGGATTGAACTATGAGAGAGTAAGTTGTTTAATTTTGAAATATGTAGAGTCTTAAAAATAATTAAATCATAAAAATTAAGAGATTAAGGGTTTAATTTCATTAATTTTAAAATTCAGAAGTCTTAGAACGCAATTAAACCATACAAATTTAGGATTAAGACTTAAATCCATTAATTTTAACACTGACAATGTTTTAAAATAATTATATAAAAATATTTTAGGAGGGACAAAGACTTAATTATAATGATTTTAAACTTACTATTGACTTAAGAAATAATTAAACTATCGAAAGGGAGTTACCCTCACACCTATAATTCCATGGATATGTATTAGGTTTAATAAGATATATATATATAGGATGCAAAATTTGAGGCATATTAATAATAGATAATTCGAGCATTTGGCACCATGCATTCGGAGCTTACTTCCACAAAAAAATGATGCCCCTCATTCCTTGGTATCCTATGATTTTTGTTTGAAAAACATGAGTAGAGACACATGCAGACGTAGGGACACGACACACAAACAATATCTCATGTCCCGTTTCTTAGGGTTTCTTCTTCTTTTTTATTTGTTTTGTTTTCAAATATCTAGAAAACCCTAATTATAAGACGATAGATTATGAAGGGAGGGGGATGAGTTTTCATAAATAATATTAATGTATCCGACCAGAAACGACATCCTTCACATTCATCCATTGCATATAGATTCCCGATCTCTGTCCCACTCTGCTACTTATCGGAGCATCAATACCCTATTTCTCTTACTTTATTATTCTCTCCCAACAACTTGTTTGGTAATAATACATCATATTTGCACAAACCAAATTATCTCAGTTGTTAAAGTAATGATCGTTATCCTTAAAAATTCCATATTAAAACACCATAGATTATAAAGGTATTTGAGTTTTCATTGTCAAATAGTTGAGAATTTTTAGAACATATACTACTTATAATCACCTTAGATTAATAATAATAAAAAATACATCATATGATCATATCCAATCACTTTTTTAATTCTCAAAAAATAGATATTGTTCCCTGAAACGCATCGTTTTGTTTTTTAGACCGGGTTCGAAAGGTTTTTTTCCTTCTACCATGGAGCGACGGGAAATGAATGACATCAGTGACATCCTTGAAAATTTTAAATTAATATATATTTTAATTTTTTTATTTTCAATTGATAATTTGTTTTCGCCCCAATATTTTACAAGTTCATTATCTCTTAAAAGTTTATAAGTTCGTTCATCTTAGAATTTTATAAATTCGTTATCTTCTAAAATTTTAAAAGTTTGCCTCATTAACGTATGATCTTACGTGCATCCCTAATCATGATAGAACCAAAATAAAATATTAGAAAGACTTAAATTACTTTACAATAAAAGAATAAAATTTTGTTATATATTTAAATTTAAAAATTGAAAAAAAAAATTATTTGATTAATATTTAAAATTAAAATAATTAAAATATCGTTATATAAAAATATTGGGCCATATCAGTGTCTAAATCCAAGGACCGTGGAGATTGTTATCTGAAAAGATAGATAATTGTCTTTTTTTTATTATTATTATCAAATTACTAATTAAAGTATGTTGCGATCGAGTTTGAATGAATAAAATTTGTGTGTATTCGTTTGTTTATCTTTTAAGATGCATGGTTATGTTTAATTCTTGTTCATTTAAATTTTTTGTATTGTGTTTGTTTATTTTCTAAGGTGTTAATGTTCGTTCGTTCAATGTTCACGAACATATTCATTTAATATTTACGAACATGTTTATTTACCGTTTGTTTAATGTTAGCCAACCAACACTCTTTTGAAAAATGATGAAATTACATCATTAGTCATTAAGTTTCTCGGGCTTCACAATTTTAACTTTAAAATTTATCTTATGTTCAATTTAGTCCTTAATTTCACCAATATTTAAATGTACAAAAATAAAAGGAAAATGAGAGTCGAGTAAACGAGCTTATAAATGAATCGATAAACGATCTTATATGTAACATCCCAAAATACGGGTTAGTGACTAAATCATAAAACTTCAGAGTTTGGTGATTTAAGTGGGATATTTGTATAGTCCGATGATTTGTTCGGAAATATTTCCTGAAAGTTTTTAGTAATTATCCAAAGAATTAAAGGGCAAAATGGTCATTTAACCATTAAATGATTAATTTGTGTTATGTGGAGGATATATATATGAGGAAAGGGATAAGAAGAATATATATTCTTCTCCTCTTTTTCTTCCATACGAGAGAAAGCCATAGCAAATGTAAGGGTTTTCTGATTTGTTGGTTATTTGTTAAATTAAAGGTTAGGTTTTGATCATTAGATGATAACTAAGCTTAAGGAAAGCTTAAGTTGTCTTATAATCAAAAGATGAAGAAGTTATAAGAGATTTAAGAAAATGAGTTTTTATATGAAATCTTGAAATAGAGTTGATAAGTTGAATTTGAAGTTAAATTTGACTTGTCATCATGATAATTAAGGAATATGAAGTGTTAGAATTGTATTTAGAACATATTGAAATTTGAGTATGATTCTTGAATTTCATATGAAATAGGATTTTGAAGTTATAGATGATTTTCATGGATATAAGTTGGTTTAAGTAATGGTAGTTGAGTTTAATGACATGATAGGGGTTTAAAATAGAAGAATTAAGTGAAAATTGATGATTTTTGGGCTTAAAATACAATTTCTGGGCATAGGGAATCGATACCCTATGAAGGGAATCGATTCCCCTTCTAGAACGAGAAAATTTCCAGTATCTCCAGGGGGTATCGATTCCCCATGGGGGGTATCGATTCCCCCTAAAGGAAAAATGAAATTGGGTTCAAGAATCTGGCTTAAGTTGTTAACATTAAGTTTAAGGTTTAGGCTTCTGATAGTTGTTTTGAAATGTTATATTTATGTAGATATTGAGCCTAAACAAGTTCCGGAATAATCAAAGGATTATAATCAAATCAAAGCAAGGCTAAGGTGAGGGCAATTTTAATTGTACTTATATTATTGAACATTGGCTTGCGATGAGCTAGTGATGGAGTTACTATGGTAAAAAGTGACTCTTAAAATATTAATTGATTTGTGATTCTTATATATGCATGAATACATGAAATGGGTATAGGTTATTATATATGTTATATGATATGCATAGACATAAGAGCATGAAACATAAAATATATGATATGATATACATGATTATATGCATATGTGATATATGCTATGAGACATGATCAATGTGAAATGAGATAAGTTATGTGAATATATGAAATGATATATGAATATGCAATACATGATACATGTGATATGATATGAAATACATGGTTACACATACATGTGATATGTGACAGAAAAGAAAGAACAAGTGATGAGAAAAGTATTCATCGTAAATGCCCATAGTATATGAAACGAGAGCTATAGGTATAGTTGGCATGCCAAGAGTCGAGGGTATTGTAGTCCTTCGGGACGTAGTGGTCCTACGGGACATATATAGCAGTCCTTCGGGACAAATACTGAACAAATGTTCGGTGCCCCATGAGGAAAATTATACAAGCTGTGGTGACAGTATTGGTGCACAACCTCAATATACTCACATACCTCTATTCTCAATAATATACATGGGCAACAACAACGACAATTGAAATATAAATTAAAGTGAAAGTGATGCATAAAGGTAAGTTTCATGTG